CGAATTATAACCATTACTAAAGACTTACCATCATTTCCTCTTTAAACTCTATGGAAGAAAGATGCCACCACGAAAGTCAAACAGGTACAAGAACAACACCCTAGCAGCACCGCTACCACCTCCACAGTTCGACCCTATTGTTTTCTAGGATGCGGTAATAGCCGTAGATGCGACTGCCATATCACAAATCAACAACAATGCTACTAGTGGAGCAGGAAATGATGCTACAAATTCTAACCAGGGAGACAGTCAAGAACGCATAGGAGAATGTTCCTTCAAAGACTTCGCTAATAGCAAACCCAAATTCTACAATGGAAGCGGAGGTGTCATCCCTCTAATACAATGGTTCGAGAAAACTGAATCGGTCCTTGAAATTTGTGCGCGCCCCAAGGCAAGCCAAGTCAAATTTTAGTTTGCACTTTCTCTGACAGGGCCCTTACTAGATGGAACAGCCATGTCAAGTCATTATTCATCCCAGTGGCTAACTTGATGAGTTAGGAAGACTTGAAGGCCTTAATGCTGGAAGAGTATTGCCCAAGTGGCGAAGTGAAAACGATGGAACAAGAGTTGTGGAACCTCAAAATGACAACCTTTGACATTGCATCCTATACTGCCAGATTCAGTGATCTAGCTATATTGAGTACCGCGATGATCACCCCGGAGAGTAAGAAGGTGGAAAGATACATCTAGGGACTATCCCCCCATATTCAAGGGAATGTTGTAGCTGCAAATCTGGTTACCTTCGATAGTGCCAAACGCTTGGCCCAAAGACTCATCAATAATAGAGTCTGCTAAGGCATCATGGCCCCCATCGCCGAACAATCAAAAGGGGGCGATAATAAAAGAATGTTTTTGAACAAAAAGAAGAACGACGAACAAAGGACCCCCCCCCCCCCCGTAACAAGCAACAAATTATTGTTGTTCATGCTCCCACCACCCCTACCACTCCAACAACATTAAGACAATATGTTAGGAACTTACCAAAATGAAACAAGTGCAACTTTCACCACAATGGCGCTTGCTGATAAAGGCACTGCAATAATTACAACAAAAAGGGGCGTACAACCTATTTCTGTAAGGCTCCAGCCCAAAATTACCCGAGCCGCCAATCTTGAGTATGCCAAGCCAACTAAGACTGTGGAGAGATCATCTATTTCAAAAGAGATTTCCCAAAGGCAGGAGACACTAGTACCGGTGGTGTGGGAAGAGTGTTGGACATAAGGCACGAAGAAGAAGTTGAAGACCCCACGGTGGTTACTAGTACGTTCCTCCTCAATAACTCAAATGCATGCATACTTTTCGTTAATGGAGCAATGAAGAGTTTTGTGAGCCACAAGTTTAAATATGTACTCAATCAATAACTAAAATCACTCAACTAAATGTTCACAGTAGAAATGGAAAACAATAAAACAGAAAGCACTAAGGATATGTACATATAATGCACTCTAATACTAAATGAACAATTTGTCAAAATCGAGCTAACGTCGATCACTATAAGAAGCTTTGTTGTCATTTTTGTCATGGATTGGTTAAGTGTTTACCGCGTCGATATCATGTGCTATGAAAAGGCAGTTCACCTTAATTTTCCAAGTAACAAAACCCTTGTTATCTATGGCGAAAAACCCGGTGTAAAGCTACAAATCATCTCTTCTGTGAAGGCTCAAAAGTATCTCCACAAGGAATACAATGACATTGTAGCTCACGTGGTGGATAAGAAATAAGACGTAAAATACATCAAAGATATTCTGGAGGTCTGTAATCAAATTCAAACCCGACTTAATTCCTGAGCCAACCCCGTAGCCAAAGCACCATACAGACTAGCACCAACAGATATGCACGAGTTATCCAGCTAGCTAAATGAACTACTCAACAAGGGATTCATTAGACCAAGCTTCTCGCCTTGGGGAGTACCGATCCTGTTTGTACAGAAGAATGATGAATCATATCGTATATACATCGACTACCAAGAGTTGAATAATGTAACCATCATGAATAGATATCCCCTACTGTAACAAACCGTTATTTCAAACCTATGTAACAATATAGATCAATTTGTAGTTCTTTTTGAAATAATAAAGAGAAATTTTATCATATTGTTTATATTTACGTAACTGACCCTCAAAACTAAAGTGTTAAATAATCTTAATTGGGATGAACCAAGTCATAGAGGTTTTAACAAAGATTCCAAAAATATGAAGAACTCCTAAAACCGAGTTATAACAAAGAAGTTATGACCAATTGAAGATCCGCGACAAATCCGGCAAACGCTATTTCGCGTAAAAAGTGAGTTTTTAATAAACTACTTTTTAGCCTTAGTGACCTTCATGAAAGTTTTAGAACTTGTAAAAATAATGAACTTTCATATATTGAGCATTTGAATTTGACTTCGTACGAAGACGTTATGACTTTTCTAAAGTTCGAATTAGTAGTAGACAACTAAAAAACTCGAAATAAAGATCGAGCGAGATTTAACCGGAACAACTTAAACGAGAATCGAAGGTCTCGTTAATACTAGTTCAACGGTAAAAAGTATGACGAAAACAGACGTAAGATAAAGAAGTTATGAATTTTTAACGGATTTTCCTGTCCTGGTCTGTTAAAAATAATAATATTAAAAATAAATTTAAATTAGCCGACGAAGTTTAAACGAAACTCGTAGAGTATAATTTTACCTACGCGTGCATATAAAGAATGTCAAAAATGGAGTTCGTATGCCAAAGTTATGAATTTTACAAGTTTTTTGCACAAAAATAAAGAAAAATAGCAAAAATCCGGATAATTTCGCATGAACAGTACCCGACCACGTCATCTCGCATCAGCAGCCTCCCCGTGTCCACCCAGTGTCGCATGCTGATTCGTCCGAAACCAAGACCCAATAAAAAACAGACGCACCTCGCACCGGTAGCGTCCTGCGAGCCGAGCCACGCGACCTTCCTTCCCTCGCTCCGCTTCGCACGTGCCCACTTCCCATTGGACCGAACCCTGGTCCAATCCAAGGGAGACAGCAGCGAGCGTCCGGTTTAAAGCAGCCTCCCTCCCTTCGCCACATTTCCGACACGCGACAGCCTCGCATGGCCTCGGATCCAAGGCTCCGGCCCATATAAGGCATGCGAGGGTTTCGACTTTTTTTACACTTTTCACCATAAATTTCACCCTCTTTCATGTTTTCCACTTGTATAAGCTCATATACAACCCCTAAAGCCCCGGTATCAAGTCTCAAACCCTAAGCAAGCCTCTAAGCGTAGAGATTCCTGAGAAGTAACCTCTCTCCTCTCAAAACTCTGTCCAATTCACCATCTATCAAGTGAGTTTATACCCCTATGTTTTCACTATTTTTATAATGATTTAGGGGGGAAATACAAGTAAAATACAAGGGATTTCCATGTAAACGATAAAAATCATTATTTTATTTTATTATTATAGTAAATAAACTATTGCACTGATTTGGGACTATTTGCTACAATAAACATATAAATTATAATAGGTATAATTTATGATTCATACAAACTTGTAAATATACTTTATGGAACTACATATGTTTACTACATAATTAGAGTTTCTGATGAAATCAGATATACAAATTATGTTAAATATAATTTATGATATAGTTATGATATGACTATTTCAAGGATACTTTTCAATATTTTACACATAATTATCAATAAGGTATTTGTGAGACACACTTCAAGTACTTATTCAAGTATAAAACAAAAGCCCTGAAAGTTATAACCAGAGTCTCCTTGAGGGAGAGCGTGACACTTGTATATAGATCTATATGGGACTGACAATCCCACATCTCGACAGTTAGCTACAGTCAAGCCGGCAGGCTTGGGATGACAATTGTCGTACCGTATTACAACGCCTGAAGAGCGTTGTGTCTCAGGTGAGGCTTAGGTCATCAAGTATGGACAACTCACAACTTTGAAATTGATAAATATGTTTGGTGTAAGAATAAGTAAGAACTTTATATAGTTTTAATATATTAAAACTATAATACTATTTCACAAGTTTTATTACAAGTATAGGTATAGAATACTATACAATTTATGAGTTAACTTATTTTTCAAAGTCTTATAGGAGGTTAAGACTATACTACTTCTGAAAACAAATGTATATACAACAGAAAATATATGATTTTCTAGAAGAACAAATACATATTTCATAGAACAAACAACAAGTTATTTATATAACCTACTTATGAACTCACCAACTTAATTGTTGACACTCGTTTCAAAACTACTTGTATTTTCAGGAAAGCAGTAAACAGGTACCAACGCGTTTAGAGGAGGACCAAGTTTCTTTATATTTATGTTTGTAAATTATACTTTTGAAACACAGTTGTAAACTTAAAATCTTATGTAATAAATTTTGTAATTTGGTTTCTATTATGCATTCTTGTGATACTACAAATGAAGTCCTCCACCCCTGAATATTTCCGCCGTTCAGTTTTGGGGGTGTGACAGATTGGTATCAGAGCATTGTTTATAGTGAACTAAGTATATCAACTCATAAAAGATATACAACTATAAATACATTAGGGGCTAAAAGCTCTTACTAGAAGTATACTTTTCAAAAATTTGAATATTTTTATAAGAAGTATACTAATTCTAATATCTATAAACATATTATCACAGAACTTAAAAGTATTTGAATGTTGAATATTATAGTCAACCTAAGAAAATTATGTAATCATATCTAGGATTAATATAGTGTGATCAACTATATTAATTCAAGATATGACCAACATATGTTTGGGAGTGATTATAGTATTGTGACATGTCTAAAACTTACCAACTATACATGTTCAGAAGATTTTAGATCTAAACATAAAAAAAATTGAAATACTATAGGAGTATTTTGGAATAATATAAAACAACACATCTAAATATATAATATACTTTCTCACCTCTACATCTCGTTCAGATAACATGGATGGACATTACCCCAGGGACCCTTACATCCCTAATCACGGCAATGGAAGTGATTCAGAGGAGGAACCAATGGAAGCCACCGATAGTGAATCAAGTGGTACTGATACAAATCCCCAAGTTATTAATCCGGGACAACACCATTTAAGACAGGGTAATGCTCGACCCATACCAGACTCGGTTCAACATATAAACCATTGGTGCAGAGACGAAGGTATACACCCTCCTTATAGAATGGCAAGAGAATATTACAACCACATTAATAGAGGTACAGCTGATAAAGCCCTTCCAATTATCATACGGCGAATAAATCGCCAAATTGATCAAGCTAGAATCTCGATTAATCAGATTCTGGAAGTAAATGCCACCGCACAAGTCAATAATGCGGATATCTTATGACTTGATGAGATGCAAGAAGACACTGATCAACACACTATGGCCCTTCAAAAGCAAGTTGATGCTGCTCAAGAGGAAATAAGATAATTTAGAGAGTATCAAGCTGCGCAAGAAAAGCGCTGGAAGTCACAAGACAAAGCGGGGCCTAGTAACCGACGTAACCCACACTGCAAATAGTGTTTTCACTACTAAGTTTTACTTTAATTATTTTTTAAATATGTATGTAAAAATTTCTTTTATGTAAAATATTTTGTAACAAGTCAAAGTTTATGTATGATATAAATAAATAAAGTGACAAATATTTCATATTACCATCTTGTTCTCACAAATTATTTACATCAGTATTTTATGATTAATTTGAATATTATAAATTTTAATTTCATACAATTTGTATACATTAAATGATTATAGAAATACCTGATACAAAACAAATGACACGAAAGATACTACTGTCATGAATTCATAATGTTTATAAACTTTTGTTATGAATTAAATTGAAATTGAATAACTTATTATCCTTTATTTTACTATAGTTAAAAGATGCCTCGACATAATCCACCACCACCACTAACTCAATTCGATGCTGCAACATTTCAGGCAGCAGTAGCAGCACTTATAGCGCAATTAAATCCAAATGGTGGTCACAATCCTCCTAATCCTCGAAATAACATTGGGCAACCAAGAGAATCTACTTATAAAGATTTTACTAATGCAAAACCAAAGTCCTTTGATAGAACGGGAGGTGTCATTGTTTTGTCGCGCTGGTTCGAGAAGATAGAATCAGTATTTGAAATATGTGCTTGTCCTGAAGCCAATAAAGTGAAGTACACTGCATGTACCTTTGCGGATAGAGCCCTTTCATGGTGGAATGGCTACGTCAAATCTTTATCTCTTCCAGTGGCAAACACTATGAGTTGGGAAGAATTAAAAGTGAAAATGTTAGCCGAGTATTGTCCGAGAGGTGAATTACAGAAATTAGAGCAAGAATTATGGAATCTTAAGATGAAGGACTCTGACATCATTGGTTACACTTATAGATTTAGCGATTTAGTCCATTTGTGTTCGGGGATGGCTACTCCAGGAAAGCAAGAAAGTTGAGAGATACATTTGGGGATTAACTCCCCCAACTCAAGGAAATGTTTTAGCCGCAAAACCTCTCACTTTCGATAGTGCCAAACATCTGGCACAAACTCTCATGGATCATGGAAAATGTCAAGTAACAAACCCCGAACCATCTAAAGATGGAGACAACAAGAAGATTTTTTGGAATATAAGAAAAGGGAAATCATCTGAGGCACCTTCGAAGAAACAACAAACGATGACAATTAATGCAGCCACCAATCCAGCTGTTATTCCTGCAACCATTCCTACCACTGTCTCTACTACCCCAGTGTTTCCAAGTCACTATGATGGAACCCTACCAAGATGTAATAAGTGTAATTTTCATCATACAGGAGATTGTAAAGAGATGTACTGCCATAATTGCAAGAAGAAGGGGCATACTGCCCGCTTCTGTAAAGCACCAGCTCAACCTGTTACCCAAATACCTGCTGAAGGAGTAAGCCAAGCTTGCTATAATTTTGGTGAAATCGAACATTATAAAAGGAACTGCCCAAAGGCAAGGAATACTAGTGGAACAGGAAGATTACTCGCTATCGGTCAGGAGGAAGCCGTGACAGACCCTAAGGTGGTCACGGGTACGTTTCTTCTCAATAACTCATACGCATGCATATTAATTGATAGTGGAGCGGAAAGGAGTTTTGTAAATAAAAAATTTGAACATTTACTCAACCAACCACCTCAGCTACTAAAAGAAACATTCGTAGTAGAAATGGATAATGGAAAGACTAAAAGTACAAATAATATATACATAGGATGTACCCTCCACTTAGATAATTATTCATTTCTAATCAACCTCATGCCTGTCTCCATTAAAAGTTTCGATGTTATTATTGGCATGGATTGGTTGAGTAACCATCATGCAGACATCCTATGTTTTGAAAATTCTATTCATCTTAAACTACTGAATGATGAAACCATAATTATCTACGATGACAAACCAAACATGAACCTCCGACTAATTTCGATCATTCAATCCCATAAATACTTACGAAAAGAATATCATGCATTCCTTACTCACGTAGTTGATGTAAAGAAAAAAGTGAAAGAAATAAAGAACATTCTAGAAGTATGCGACTTTCCTGATATCTTTCCCGAAGATCTTTAGGAGTCCCCCCAAAACGACAAATCGAATTCAGAATCGACTTAGTACCTGGAGCTACCCCTTTAGCCAGATCCCCATACCGTCTTGCACCATCAGAAATGCATGAATTATCCAGACAACTAAATGAACTTCTTAGCAAAGGATTCATAAGACTAAGTTTTTCACCCTGGTGAGCACCAGTTTTATTTGTAAAGAAGAAAGATGGATCTTTTTGCATGTGCATAGACTACCGCGAACTAAATAAACTTACCATCAAAAAACCGATACCCTTTACCACGCATTCATGATTTGTTCGACCAGCTTCAAGGTGCAAGCTTTTTCTCAAAGATTGACTTAAGATCTAGGTATCACCAATTACGAGTTCTAGAGGAAGACGTTCCCAAAACAACATTTCTAACTCGTTATGGTCATTACAAATTTGTAGTGATACCTTTTGGATTAATGAATGCACCTGCAGTGTTCATGGACTTAATGAACAGAGTGTGCCATCCTTATTTGGACAAATTCGTAATAGTCTTCATTGATGATATCCTTATTTATTCAAAAAGAAAAGAGGAGCATAGTCAACATCTCAGACAAATCTTACAAATGTTAAGAGCAGAGAAGTTATATGCGAAATTCTCAAAGTGCGAATTTTGGATCAGGAATGTTGATTTCCTAGGTCGTGTGGTCAGTTCAGAAGGAATACACATTGATCTTTCCAAAATTAAGGCAATTCAAAACTGGTCAGCACCCAAAACGCCTACCGAAATTCATCAATTTTTAGGTCTTGCTGGCTATTACCGCTGATTCATTCAAAACTTCTCTCGAATAGCAAAGCCCCTTACTACCCTAACCTAAAAGGTGTAACCTTTAGTTGGGGAGAAAAACAAGAAACAACATTCCAAGTACTAAAGTAAGCCCTATGCAGTGCACCTGTCTTATCTCTACCCGAAGGAACGGAAGATTTCATAGTCTACTGTGATGCTTCTAACCAAGGACTCAGTTGTGTTCTTATGCAACGAGGAAAGGTAATATCTTATGCCTCGAGACATCTTAAAACACACAAGGTTAACTATACAACACACGACCTTGAGTTGGGAGCAGTGATTTTTGCTCTGAAGATCTGGAGACATTATCTGGATGGTACCAAGTGCACAATCTTTACAGACCACAAAAGCCTTCAACATATCTTCAACCAGAAAGAACTAAACATGAGGCAATGACGATGGGTAGAACTACTCAACGATTAAGAATGTGAGATTCGTTATCATCTAGGCAAAGCCAATGTGGTAGAAGATGCTCTCAGTAGAAAAGAATACTCAGGACATCGGATAAAGTCGTTGACCATGACTATCAATTCACATCTCTCTACACAAATCAAAGAAGCCCAACTTGAAGCCTTAAAACCTGAGAATGTGACAGGTGAATCTTTAAGAGGAATGGATAAAAACTTAGAAGTCAAAAGTGATGGAGCTCGATATCTCATGAACCGGATCTGGATACCAAAGTCCGGCGATTACAGAGAGTTTATCATGAACGAAGCACATAAGACGCGATACTCCATTCACCTAGGTTCAAATAAGATGTATTTGGATCTAAAGAAACTTTATTGGTGGCCAAACATGAAAGCAAAGATTGTTACTTTCGTGGGCAATTGCCTGACTTGCGCCAAAGTGAAGGTTGAATATCAGAAGCCCTCAGGTCTACTTCAACAGCCGGTAATACCTGAGTGGTAGTGGGAAAAGATAACCATGGATTTTATCACCAAGTTACCTAGATCTCCGAGTGGGCACAATGCCATCTGGGTAATTGTCGATCGGCTGACTATGTCCACTTATTTTCTTCCAATTAAACAGACAGAAAAAATGGAGAAGCTAACCAGAACCTACATCAGGGAGATAGTCAGACTACATGGTGTACCGGTATCTATTATCTCAGACCGAGATAGTAGATTTACATAAAGATTTTGGTAGTCACTTCAGAACGCTATTGGAGCTAAGTTGGATATGAGTACAACTTATCATCCTCAAACTGATGGGCAAAGTGAGAGAACCATTCAAAAATTAGAAGACATGCTGAGAGCATGTGTAATAGATTTTGGTAAAGCTTGGGATACTCATTTACCTTTGGTTGAATTCCTATACAACAACAGTTACCATACCAGCATTAAAGTTTCTCCATTCGAAGCACTTTATGGTCGAAAGTGCAGATCACCGTTATGCTAGGCTGAAGTTGGAGACACGCAATTGGCTAGAGGTCAAATTCAAGAAAGCACTCTCACAGGTCCAAAAATTATCAGAGAGACTACCGAGATGATAGTACAAATTCAAGAAAGATTAAAAGCTTCCAGAGACAAACAGAAAAGCTACGCTGGTAAACGAAGAAAACCCTTGGAATTCAAGGTTGGTGATCAAGTTATGTTGAAAGTTTCACCCTGGAAAGGTACAATACGATTTGGAAAGTATGGAAAATTAAACCCAAGGTACATTGGACCATTTGAGATTGTTGCTAGAATCGGTCCATTAGCTTACAAACTTAATCTGCCGCAACAACTCAATAACATACATCCTACATTCCACATGTCTAACTGAAAGAAAATGCGTATGTGATGAGAATCTCGTCATCCCATTAGATGAAATCGAATTAAACGAGAATCTTAACTTTGTGGAAGAACCCGTAGAGGTTTTAGATAGGGAAGTGAAGAAAACCAAACAAATCCGTATCCCGATAGTGAAAATTTGTTGGAATGCAAAGCGGGGACCTAAATTCACTTAGGAACGAGAGGATCAAATGCAAC